AGTTCCTTGCTCTTTAAAGAGATCAAGTAAATTGTATGGTCTTCTCAGTCATTCGACACATAAATGTTAGAGCCAAAGGATGAAGCATATTTTGCTGTTGTTGTTATTATTATTGTGCCGGGGATTAAATCCAGGGCCTTGTGCATGCTAAGCATGTACTCTATTCCTGAGCTACATCCTATAGCCGAGGAATGCACTTTAAACTAAATGATCAACCTTGAAATAAACACAAGTTAGTCCCACTTGACCTCTATCTATGCAGGCTTACAAGTCTTCTTGTAAATCATGTCAGCACAATTTATAGAGAGTTGTTTCTGGAACCTTTACTCCTTGTTTTAAATATCAACAGTTGTGTTATACCTTTACTCCAGGACTAAAGTGACATTTAGCCTTTGTTCCAGGAAATCTTGCCAGTCACTTATTTTGTTTAGCTCTCTTAGGTTCTGTTTTCATGTTATCTTAACTTTGGGCTTAGATCAGATAATAAAAATAGTGTCCACAAAAGCTTACTTAGCTTAGAGTTTTTGTAAAGCTACAAACAGCTAGCATTTATTGTGCGCTTACTCTGCCAAGCTCTGTTCTTAAGAGCTTTACATGTAACAATGCATTGTATGTTTGCAACAACCCTATCAGATAGATAATATTATTATTCCCATTTTACAGATAGGAAAACATGAAACAGAGAGAGGTATAAAAATTCTCCAGCTAGATGTGGTGGCACACATCTGTAATCCAAGCACTCTGGAGGCTGAGGCAGGAGGATTGCTGCAAGTTTAAGGCCAGCCTGCTTTACATACTGAGTTCAAGGCCAGACAGAACTACATAGTGAGTCCCTGTTGTGCAGAAAAAAAAAAGTTTCACAAAGTCTTATAGTTATTAAGTGATGGAGCAAAGATTCAAACATAGTTAGAATCTATATTCTGAACCATGGCTTTATGTGGCCGTGTTCCCATGGAAACTGTACAAGACCCTGAGTAGCCAGTGGTTACTTTTCTTGCTCCTGCTGGTAGTTATATTATGATGAAAATTAACTCATTCAATAACCATGCTATATAGTGGTGATCAAGACAGATGAGCAAGGTCTCTGCCCTCAAGAAGACCTTTTGGCCTTCTGTTGGTTTGGTTAGTCTTTCCCCTTAGAATCTAATTTTCCTTGGGTGAACTCATAAGATTTAAAGCTGAATGCTGGAACTCTGATGACTTCAGCAAGGTTTATTCTTGTTAGAACAAATATTTGTAACATATTGACAGCAATAAATTATTATTGCCCAGTTGGAATTTCCTCCTCTGACCTTGAACCTATTCATTCGTTCCCCAGTCCACACTTATTTTTGGTTTTAAATCTTCTAATGTACTGTGTTACATTTAAGATATTTTTTTTTTGGTAGAGCACTGATGATCCAAAGGAACTCAATATTATTTACCAAATTGCCATTGCATTAAATTAATTGTATTAGGAATAGGTTCAGTGCAATGTAACAGAAAAACCTAGATGATAGTAGCTTAAGTAAGATATCAGCTTGTTTTTCGCATAAAACAATTTTTTTTTTTTTTTGTCTTTTTGAGACAGGGTCTTGTTATGCAGTTCATGTTGGCCTTGAGCTCACTTTGTAGCCCAGGCTGGCCCGAACTCACAACGATCCTCCTGCCTCAGCCTCTCGAGTGCTGGGATTACAGGCATGCGCCACCACGCCAGGCACACATAAAATAATTTTAGAGAGGTTGGGGGTATAGTTCAGCAGCACAAGTGCTTTCCTGGTAAGCACAAAGTCCTGAGTTCAATTCCTGGTTCAAAAAAAATTTTTTTTTAGAGATAAGTCCAGGATTGGCATAGAGGCATCACAAAAAGGAATCTAGCTCTTTCCTGCTCCATATTGTTTGTTATCTGCAAGGTCTGGTTATAAAATGGTTTCAGAAACCATGTCACAGGAAATATGGTGGAGAGAAAGATTAAAAGGGTGTATTTCCTTCCTTTTAAGGAATTTCACATGATTTGTAAGTCATTTTGGGTTAGATCTCAATAACCCAAATGTGGTCATGCAGCTGGTCACTGTAAGGGCGATTAGGAAGTGTAAGATTTGATCTGAGTTACAATGGATCTTCCAGAAATCCGGGCCTGTTACAGAAGAATGACGGAGTACTCACAGGGAGGTAGTTTGAAGTCATTATGACAGGGACCTTACATCCAGTTGTGCTGATATTCAGAGTAGATGCACATAGGTACTTTGAAGTCATTATCACAGGTACCTTACGTACAGTTATGATTAGAATTCATTCCGATAAAGTTTATTGTATTCTTAAATGGTATCCAGGACAAGAATGAGAAGAATCAGCTTAAGGTTTCTCATTCTTTTTTTCTACTTATAGTGGTATAGTACATGATTGCATTAATTGCATCTAAAATAAAGTGACTTGCAAACAGCAAATGGGGGATATACTGGGAGGGTACAGGGAAACTGTAGGAAGAGATCAGTGTGAAGAGATAAGCAAAGAGAAGGAAAGGCAAATATTTAGCCACTGGTCAAGAAAAGCTGGAGGTGAGAATTTTGGGATTAAAACAACTGTCAGTTGTCTGCTCTGCCTCCAGCTCCTCCCTCTGACTTTATTCTTTCAATGCAGAATGGGTTTCACTTGGCAAAAACTATATCCAAGGATATCTCCCAGTTTTTATTTAGGCTTGAGATGACCTCTTTTTCTAAGTATCCTGCAGGAATGGCTTCATCTCTTGACCACCTAGCTATGGCCGAGAGCTGTTCTGCAGTAATACAGCTGCTTTTGCTGCCATCATGATAACAATGTGGGAATAAGGAGCAGCTTCTCTAGGAAGCTACACACAATTATATAGGTGCTCAGGTCAGTGGCCTGAATGAAATGAATAGTAAAGGAGAACAGGATCTATCCTAATTGATAGAAATGAATTAGCTATGAATAAACCTCATTGAAGAGGGCTACAGATTATTTATTATGTGTTAGGGATTATACTAAGTGCTTTTAATATATGGAGTCATTTTTTCCTCCTAGCCCTATGGACTTAGGGGTTATTATCCCATTTTACAGATGAAGAAAAAAAGAGCTCATAGAGGTTAAGTAACTTGTTCAAGGTCACATAGCTAGTAAATAAACTCTATCTTTTCAAATTTCAAAGTTTTTACATTACCTCAATACTTCTCTATTTTGAATTGGAAATGACAGTGATTTTTTTTTTTCTTTTTGGGGATACGGTCTTGCTATGTAGCCCTGTTGGCCTTGAACATTGTTATTCTTTTTTTTTTTTTTTTTTTTTTTTGAGACAGGGTTTTGCTATGTAGTTCAGGCTGGCTTTGAACTCATTGTGTAGCCCAGGCTGGCCTCAAACTTGCAGAGATCCTTCTGCCTCAGCCTCCCAAATGCTGGGATTACAGACCTGTGTCACCACGCCCAGTCTTCGAACATTGTTATTTTTCTGCCTTGGTCTTCCAAGTGCTGGGATTACATGTATCACTTGGCAGTGATGGTAGTTTATTATGAAGCAGTTATTACTCCCCGCCCCTGTTCTGCCATAACAAAGCTATGTGAACTTAATAAACCTTGTAGTACCTCTGGGTCTTAATCTCTTCATCTGAAGACTGGATTGAATCAAATTACTTCCCCCCTCGGTAACAGAGTTAATATTTATTTTATTTCTGAATGCAACGGTATGAGCTGGTATATTTTAAAATATTTTAATACATCCAGTATTTTTGAGGACTTCTTGAGCCAGATCTGTGTTAAGAACTGTGATGACATTGAAGATATACAAAATGTCGTTACTGCCTATAATTATCTGGAGGAACAGGCAAATAAAGTGATTTTTCATAACTGAAAGTCCAAGAAGTGTACCCTTTAGGGGCAATACGACCATTGGCTCAATCATATCTTCAAGGGTTACTCTTGGGGCTGGGGATTTAGCTCAGCGGCAAAGCGCCTGCCTGGCAAGCGCAAGGTCATGAGTTCGGTTCCCGGTACCGGAGAAAAACCAAAAAAA